GACGTCTCCAGGAAAAGCATGGTTTCGAACAGGACACTATCATTTGATGTGAATAACATATTTGTCGCGCACCATCGTGTTTTGAAGCAAAATCGTATACATTTAGAATAGCCATGGAAAATAGTAGTAAATAGATTCAAAATTGAAAAATTGTTCGACGTCTCCGGAAAAGCATGGTTTCGAACAGAACACTATCATTTGATGTGTGTAATACCCCATATTTTAGTAAGTCAGTAAAAACTTATTTACCGCAGTAAAAAAATGATTTATCGCAGTAAAAATTTATTTACTGCAGTAAAAATTTATTTACCGCAGTAAAAATTATTTACCGCAGTAAAAGTTATTTACCGCATTAAAAAGTTATAATGTAAATCAGTAAGAGTGAGTAATTGAGTATAGATAATAATTAAGTATTTCAAGATTAAGTTAAAAATTCATAATCGAGAATAGTAGAGATTATAATAAAATCTTCGGTTTTCAATCGTAAATGGAATTTAAGTCCGATTTTGATTCCGAAAATTTTATTATTGATATCTAAATTTTATTAAACATTAGAGATTAGTTATTATGGATTTTTAAAGATTAAGAATAGTATAATTTTAATTAATTGTAAATTTTTACAATTAGTGCTATTATTAGAAAATAAAGTATTTATGTTTAAGCATGTTTTTCCTCATTAAATCATTTGTAAATGATTTATATATTATGAGAGATATTAATATAAGTTAAAAATAATTTTTAAAAATTATTTTCAGATTTTTTTTGATAAAAATTCGAAATTAAAAGAAAAATAAAAATAAATTGTGAAAATTATTTTTATTTTGTAGAATCTTCATCATTTGAAGCATCTTAATTTTATATTAATGATGACTCATTGTTATGATATTTTATGTAATTGATGAGCTGAAAAATTAAATAATATTAGTCAACTAAATTAAAAATTAAGAGTGGGACATTATTTAGCATATTTGTTAAAGAAATTAGTATTTTAAATGATATTTAATTGAATTTTGGAGATGCTTGTCCCCTAAAATTTTCCTATAAATAAGAGCATTCATCAAAGTTAGAATTACACCTCAAAAATTCAAAATTTATGTTATAAGAGAGAAATAGTGAGAATCGAGTATTTAAGAGAGAAATCGAGCAATTTCGAGAAGTGCTTAGAGCAAGTTTCTTTTCTTATAAATAGAAGAGGTATGTATTCAAACTTTGATATCATCAATTATATCTAAGAGTTATATGTGTTTATATGTGATTTTGATATGTTATCATGTTTATAAATTATAAATTTTATATATATAAGTATATAAAATAAGATTATAAAGTAAGATTATTTAAAGTTCATGTTGCAGCTGCTTATGTTTGTTGTTTTTGACCAAGCTATTAAATTCCAAAAATTATGAAAATTTTTATATGAGATCATCATTATGCTGAGAATAATACTGGAAAGTTTTAGATTGTTTGAAGTTAAAATGAATTTTATAAAAATCATTGATTAAGGTGCTGTCCAGTGAAAAATCTGTGTAGTAATGATGACTTGTGAGATGAAATTACCCTATCTATTGATATTATTATGAGTTGGGAATTTTATGGTCAATTCATATACTAGTTAAGAACTTCCAGTTTAAATTTTATAATTATTGGAGTTGTTTAGCATGCTATAGAAAATAATGAATATAAGTGAGTAAATCTCGAATTTCAACAAGAGAAGCATTATTTGGAAATTCATATCTCACTTTATGGTTATTATTTTTATGAGAAAATTTACAGGATATTTCTTGAGTTAGTTGAGACTTATGATTTAAAGTTTTAGAATTTTTAGTTAATTGTAGGATGAGAAATAGATTTTTTTTAAAGACAAGTATGCTAGCAAATTGAATATTTTGTTATATTCTCAACTTTGAAATAATATATCTCAAGATATGAATATTATTTTAAAGTAAAATTTTTATGGTAACTTTATATATATGTGGAGAGTACATATGTTAAAGTTAAGTTTAAAATGAGATGATCATGAATAATTCTCATATAAGTGATGAGTAATTTGATGAAGTTTTGGTATAATATGTTGAGTATACAATTTTATAAAGATTGTATTAAGTATGACATATCAATATCAAGATTAAAAGTTATGATTAAAAGATGATTATGGCTTGAGATTATTTTCACTTTCAAGTTAATTAAGTGAAAATTTAGTATAAGCCAATATCTAAAAATTAGGAGATATGATGTATGATGAATTAAGTATTTGATCAAGTTAAATTAAGATAAGTTATAAATCATGTTGATGATGTTGGTAAAAGTAAGCATGTTTTAAGTTTAAATACTCAATCAAGTATAATGTGAAATATAGTTATTTTCACATTTGAGTTATGACATGCTAAGTATAATACCATATTGATGTTTATGAAGACATGATTTATATAAGGTTAAGTAATTGACCTTAAGTAAAAGTAAAAAGAGAAGTTAAGTATAAACTTGAGAAAAAGCAAGTTTAATGAATTTCTATAAGATTTGGATAAGTTAATAATCCTAAAATTCTTATTGAGTATACGAGCATAGTACTTAGTATATTTGTTTATATTTGATGTAACTTGCAGATACAGTACCAGTACAGCACTTATCGTTTTTCAAATGATTTCAAAGACAAAAAGGTGGGGACCCTGAATGGGTATCACATTGAGTACGATATTGATGTCATATGGGATGAGGAGACCATCAGTTGTCTCAGAGTATATCCTAAAGTTTAAGTTTATTACGCTTGGGATGAGGAGGCATTAATTTGTTCTCAGAGATTATATCCTAAGTTCTGATGGAGGCCGTTAGGTGCCTTAGAAATATCCATCAGAGTGTGCACACGTATCCGATTAACTATCGGCAAGATAAGAGAAAAGTTTAAGTTACCGATCAGATATCGGTTTATGATTATCCATATTCGTTACTCACCCCCATGAGTTTTAGTTTCAGGTAACAGGTCGAAGAGGAGGTGTGAGTGGAGCAGTGTTGGTGTGGATCGTGGACTCAGATGAAGACAAGCTTTGATACGGACATTTATAACAGTCTGTATAATTAACCACGTTTTCAAGTATTTCCGCTATGCACATTAAGTATTGAACTTGCATTTTAATGAATTTCATATTTCAAGTTTTTACCATTATGAGAAATATGATTATGGTATTTTAAATGCAAGTTTAAAGGAAATCTGTTTTAATTATGTATAAAGAAGTATTAGACAAAAGTTTAAAGATAAACGGATTTTCAAGATGATGAGTTTGAGTAGCATCCCGAGTTAGTCGCAAAAGATTTCGAAAGAATTAAGTATATTCGAAGTAAAAGTTGCGAAAAATTTACTCTGATAAGCGGGGTGTTACAGGTGGTATCAGAGCTAGAGTTTTAAATGCTCTGTATACTAAAAGGTTAAGTTCTGAAAGAGAAAGTTTTCATAGAAATCAAAGTTTTTACAGGAAGTTTCAAGAAAACCCGACCACACCACGCTCACACCTCGTCAACTACCAGGTAAGTGCTGTTAAAAGTTTTATACAAGTTTTTCAATATATTCAAATTTACTAAGTCTATGCTCAATAAGAATTCATATATATGAACTCTAGAAATTTGTTATATGTTCAAAATCTAGTTTATCAAATTGACTAGATTAAGAAAGAACTCGAACATTCTAAGTAAGCCATAAGAATAAGATTTAAGTTAAGATCTGATTATAAAGATTGACGATGTATTTGAGCCAAGTATAAGAAGTAACGGTATTTCAGTATATAATAGCCAAAAAGTACGGGGAACATCATGGGGGTTTGAAATAAGAACCAAAAGCCGGATCAGATCCTGTAGGCTTGAAAACTAAACTGTAAGAAGTAAAGTTTCAAGAAAATAATCAATTTTTATAAATTATAAATTTTGATATCTGATCATTTGGATATCATGAGTTGAGTATAAGTAAAGTTCAAGATGAAGTTATAAGTTATTAGTATTTGTAGAATAAGAATAAGTTTACGAAGTACTTTTCAGAAATGAATGAGTATAAAGATTAAGGTATCGACATATAATAGTCATGAAGTCGGGAAAATTATGGAAACCTGAAATAAGGGTTATTAAGTCCGAATTACCTGAAGACTTGAATTCGAACCTTAAAAGATGTTAGAAATACATTCCAGATACCGAGATAAGTATTTAAGTTCTTGAAAGAATTTTAAAGATAAGCAAGATGAATCTGGATATGTAAAAGTTAAAGTTAAAGATAGTCTTTTTAATAAAAGACTAAGATGTTTCTTTGGAGGAAATATTAGTCCCCAAAGAGAGATGAGTATAAATGATGAGTTTAAAGCCATAAATAAGAAATGGCGAGAAGAAGCAAGAAAAGATAGATTAACCGGAACTCTAGCACAAGCTAGGTGTTTTCGGAAAATTAACAATTTCCTTAAAGTTTAGTATAGCTATTTATTAATGGTTATACTGTTTAAGTTGAATGGTTGGTGGTTTTAAGAATGCCGCGAGGCGAAGTTTCAAGACCACAAATGAGTAAAGTTTAAGAAGTATAGAATCTTGACTGAATCAAGAAGTTTTCTCAGTCCAGAAACAAGTAGTATTGATGTGTGATTCAAGTATATACGAGAAAAGTATATTTTGCATAATCAATCTACTTGACATATGGTAATATCATTGAAAGTAAAAAGCAAGACAAGGATTCAAGTACAATGTTGAGAACTTCACTATTTCTAAGAAGCTAGTACAGAAATAACAGAGAAAGGAAATACAGACAAGCAGAAAGGAATTCTCAACTAATACAAAGTTATATTATATAAAGGGAGGGAGCGTCTCAAGAGCACAAGACTCCATAACTCTGCCACCCATCATGGCTGTAGTTTCACAAAGATAGATCTAAAGGATCAAATGCTCGCTTGCGTTTGAATCCTGGAGTTTTCACAGAATCTTGAACTGTTGAGATGTTGTTTTGAAGCTTCTGGATAAGTTCAGAGGATGTGTTTGCAGACTTGAATATTTCTCTTTGAAAGGGAGATATAAAAGTTTGATACACTCCTTCATCTAGAAATCCAAGCAAGTGGTGGAAAAAGTTATTGAAATTTAACAGACCAATAGGTTTGGTATGAAATTTCATTTCTGCCCAAGTAGCAAGGGTGAAAATTGTCATTAAAGTTCCATATCCACCAGGAAGAATGATGAAAGCATCACAACCAGATATCATAGACATCAAGCAGTCATAAATTGAAAGAGTTATCATCAAAGTAGCAGAATCTTTGACAATCTTTGATGAAGTGAGATAAAAAGGAAGGATACTTCTCACCTGAAAGAGTTATGTATAGGTGGTTTCTAGTAACCACATATAGAAACCCAAGGCCCATCAAAATTAACATAAGGTCATTCTCCACCACATATAAAATATAAATTATCTATATGCAGTTTTTACTCACCATATACAGAAAATAAATCAAATACATACAAATCATATTTACACAAAGTAATTCAGACACTAGGGTAAACAAATTGGCTCTCCTACGAAGTGATTGTTCACTTTCCCGCCCGACCTCCCTGCGCGCCGTGAACAAATTGGCTTCGTCTTTCCAGCCCCGACCTCCCGCTTCCGCCCGCCGTGAAATTCCAACTCCCCTCTCCGTCTTTCTAGCCCCACCCCTGCCTCCGTGCGCCGTGAACCTATTCGGTTCCAGCCTTCAATTTCGTCCGTCTGCCGTGAAGTTCCCGCTTCCGTCCGTCGTGAATTTCCAGCCGCCGCCCGTCTTTGTAGCCCCGCCTCCGCACGCCGTGTACACGTTCGGTTCCAGCCCTCGCTTCCGTCGGTCGTGAAGTTCTAGCCCCCAATTCCGTCCGCCGTGAAGTTCTAACCCTTGTTTCCTTCTGTCGTGAATTTTTAGTCCCTGCCTCCGTTGAACACATTTTGCCTCCGCCACCGGCACTGCCGACACACCAAACATCCTTCGTGAGTTTCACTAATAAAATTTTATGCTCTGCTACACTTCTATAAACGTTGTTTTTTGGATGGCTTAATACCTGAGTTTTGTTGGATGAACTAATACCCGAGTTTCTTGGATGACTTAATACCTGAGCTCAGATCAATGGACCCGATGCTTAGATCTCAAGAAGGTAATAAATGGGCGCAGCTAATCGGGTCTATTTAGCTAATTTCGTTTTAAATCTTTTACCTTCTTGTGGAGATCATTGGTTTTTATTGTGGAGATCATTGGTTAAGACGTGGGTTTTGTGTGGTTTGTTCGTACAGATGATGCTATACAAAGGATTGTGTTGGAAGCTCCATGGTTCAAGTCTTGTAGGAGGCTCTGCGCTTATATAAGTTGTCGGGATTTGAAAGGAGTTGATACAGCTAAAGTTCTTTCAGAAATTTTGAGGAACACGGATCAAGGTGCTTTTTCTTTTTTTTTTTTGGGTTTCTTGTTTTGCCTTTTGCAGAGTCAAAATGTGCTTTCCTTTTTGAGGTGTTATTTTGATGATATATATATGTAGGACCTTTTTGAGGTGTTATTTTGATGATATATATATGTAGGACATGTTATGCTGGTAGAAATCTATAGATGGTTATCTGAGCGATTTGTTGATTGATTGCCTTCGATTGATTTAAATGGTTGAAACTTGAAAGTGATTACATTTTTAGCTTAGGAGTGGGAAACTTAGTTAGGCTGTCATCAGTAAAAGCTCATTGAAATTGATCAAACTCCACAATACTCGGGTTTTACACCCACTTCATTTGAAATTAGAGTTGTGTGAGATTTTCAAAATGAAATATCTATGAGTGACTTTTTATAGATGTTTTAATAGTGAGCATGATGTGTTTTCTTGTTTGTGTGCTTCTTAATGTTGTATCAATTACAAAAGGTCCTTACTTTTTATTTTTTCCTTTTTATTAAGATGATCGTTCACAAGGTGAGAAAGAAGCTTTATGTTCCTAGAGTGGAAGACAAGAATAGTTTCATGCGAATGCTAAATATCTCTTGTATGGATGATTTGATTGCAAACTCCATGGACATACTGGAACCTGCTCCTTGTGATGCTGAGGGAAACGAACGTGAAGATGGTAATTCCTTTTGTTGCAAAAATCCCACTTTCTAATGTTGGTGGAATTACTAATTATTTTTGTTGCAACAATCCCACTTTCTAATGTTGATGGAATTACTATTCATCTGTTCTCATACTGTTTCACTATTTGCTGCATATGGAATTTTTACATGACTGACCGACTTAATACCTGAGTTTCTTGAATGACTTAATACCTGAGTGCTTTATATTGTTTTGAACTAATTGTTTTCTTTACAACAAATGTGTGTACATGTGGTAGTATCTTTGTCTGTTTTCTGCCGCATAGCTTATGTTTTGGGTTGAGCACCATTGAAATTCTTATCATTAAATCACGTTGTTGTTCTCAAATGCATTCATATGAACCTTTGAAAATCGAATGTTAACTTCTTCTCTCACTTTTAGTATAGAGTATTTTTAAAAATTATTGCAAGATTCAGATATATATAAATAAGTGACGGAGGCTTCCGATGGGCCAACCGCGACAAACGGCGGCCCGACCCCTCTTTCAGTTTCAACCCTGCCGAGGTTAAGCCTTCAACTCTCCATCTATGCAACCTTTTTGGATAATTAACCTTGCAGAATTACATGTATTAATTTTACTGGAGCCATATTCTTTGCATGATCGATCATATAGATGAAGCCTCCAAACAATAAATATTGCGCATTGGAGAACGCTGAAAAATTAAACTGATATTGGATTTCACTGTGTTGTCTTTTTACAGATATTGTTCTCAAATGTCGTTCGACGAGACTTCTGAGGCAATCCTGGTTTTTGCCACATAAATATGAACAAGGTTATGATGTTTTATTCTTTATGAAGCTGAATAGACGCCATGAAATACATTGAAAGAGGGCACAAGGTTTCAACTTTTTGCAGCATTTATATTGGCAGATCACTTGTGGTACTTTCAGTTGCCTGTTTTTTTTTTTTTTTGGGTTTGGTGATCTCTACTATCGGTGTTTGCATGGTTTTATTTTGATGTTCTAGGATGCCCAAAAGCCTTACCCCTTTTCTCTTTTGTCGGTGTTGAATTATGTGGTAGTTGAAACGTGTGATTTGTTGTTTCCTAATGTACACTTTAGTTGTCTTAATTTTGATTTAGGAGATTTTTTTTGTTTGAACTTGTAGATTGATGAAAATGTGGCTCGGGAGATCATAAACCATAGATCACTTCGGCATCCCAATATAATTCGATTCAAGGAGGTAAAGATTCCGTTTTCATTAATTTTCCTTTGGTGGAATGATTGACAATATGTGTTTGAGTATTTTGCTTTGTGATGCACAGGTGTTTTGACCCCCAACACATCTGGCCATTGTTATGGAGTATGCTGTTGGAGAGCTATTTGAGAGGATTTGTAATGCTGGACGGTTTAGTGAAGATGAGGTATTAACACATTTTATTTTGACACCAATTTTTGCTCACTTGTGAAATTGAGAGAGGAAGTTCGTATGATGTGTGTTATATTTTGGTCCGTGTTTCATTATATTTCCAGTCAAGATACTTCTTCCAGTAACTTATTTCTGGAGTCGGCTATTGTCACTCCATGGTAAGATAAACCTAACTTACGAATAGGAACGTGCATACATGCATTATCTTTTGAACCTTGTTGAATGTGGTCATTGCAATAACATTATCTTAGTTACTCCTTGGTCTGTAGCAAATATGCCATCTGGATAGAAGCCCAACCCCGCGTCTGAAAATATGCAACTTTGGTTACTCAAAGCTAGTGATAGATACTAGATATTTAGGTGTATCTTTTGTTTAAGAATGTTTGTACACAAATAAATGTGCTTACCAGTTTCCTTCTTTATTTCTCTTTTTAAGTCATCTCTACTACATTTGATGCGAAAATCAACTATACCATATTGCTCCAGAGGTCCTCCTCTCAAGGAGAGAATATGATGGAAAGGTAAGATCTGTAACTAAAGCCATAAGTTGCTGGTGTAGAAACTTAAATTGTCTTATCTTATTTCCTACTTTTCTTATTTTTCTGTTATTTTAATAAATATGTTATGTGTCTTAACTTATGTTATTTCCTACTTTCCAAAATTACCTCTTGGTTTATGAATTATGTTCTTTTAGTCTTGATTTATTATTATTTATGGTTTTTCAATTAAGAATATACTGGGTATGTTGTTGTTGTTGTTGTTGTTGTTGTATGGTTTTTCAATTAGGGGTTTGATTTGGAAGAAGCATACTTGGAAGAAGAAATTCATGATATACAGAGACGGTGGACCGAGTATTTTCTCTATATCGCCTCATTGGCAAAGTAGTAGACTATATAGGCTTTTATTTGGAATATTTGATTTATGTTGAACTATTTGAGTTTGCTAGTATTGTTAGCTTTTTGAGAGATGTTAAACTCCGTTGGTATTATTGACAATGAACTAATTTTAGTTAATTTATTTTATTTTTATCTATTTAGTTATATTGATGGTACATTTGGTTTCAATTAAACAGGTGTAAAAAAAAAAAAAAAAAAAAAATTTATATACTTTTTATATCGGGTAATAAAGTATGATATAAAAAAATTTATATCGGTCAAAATCTTTTATATCTGTTTAAAAACAACACGTAGAATCTATTTTTTATATTGGGTTCGAAGTCTACCCCATATAAAAAGATATTTTTTATATGGGTTGATTCATTCACCCGATATAGAAAATATATTTTTTATATCGGGTATTCTATAATTCGGCTTTCTAGATGTATCTTTTAGATGGGGTGATTCACTCACCCGATATAAAAAGTTTACTTTCTATATGTGGTATTGCCCGATATAAAAAGGTGACACTTATTATATGGGCTGAAACTATATCGAAGTGGAAACCGATATAAAAAGTCAATTTCACCCGATATAAAAAGCGTTTTTTCCACTAGTGATATTTGTCGTGCACCATCGTGTTTTGAAGTATAATCGTATACATTTAGAATTGCCATGGAAAATAGTATTAAATAGAGACAAAAGCG